GCTCAAACAATTCTCTAAGATACGGCCGTACACCGACTTTATGAACGCTGAAGATCACTGTATTATCCACTTCTGGCAGAAGCCTTGTCATAAGACTGGCCTTAACAATGTTTAATTATCCAACTTATTTCCATTTAAAAAGTTATTCCAACCATCGTAAATATCCTATGCTTTGTGCCATTCATTGCGCAAGAACAATAGAAATATCTTAACATATCTTAACAGTTCTTCATCCATAAAACGTGTGCTACAAAAGCACATACTTTACCGTATAAATTCTAAATGCTCCGTTGTATTATGCTACTACATAATCTGGTAAAATGTTTTCAACCAGGAATTTTTTCCCCCTCGCGAGTCCCGAACTCAGGTCCCCAGAGTTAACTCGCCGATGTAAAGGCTCGCTTTATGTCAAGTTCCCTCAAAAAATCATAATATTTGTTTGAATATCTCAAAGCCTCGACTTCGTTCAGATCGATCCGGGAGTATCGATTTGGGATAAAATCGGATGAACAGTTGACTACAGACGGACAGATTGACAAACAGACCGATTTACGTTTTTCGTCTATCGATCCCCACAGTACATGGTATCGCGGACCCACAGAACTTAGAATCTAGACACCACTTCTAATCCCACATCTAATACACCACTTGTTAGTGGATGTTTTCTATATTTAGCCACAGGATATGTCCTCCTTCTCGTTTCCGTGGCAACAAGATTTGGGCCAAACATTTCGCCCTTTGCGGCGCAGGATGACATGACGAAGCACCTTCGTCACAGCGAAGAAGCAAAAGCATAATACTTGTCCCATTTGTTGGCCAAATCTTCTGTTTGCGAAAATTGCAACAATTGCGTGTTGGAAAAATGTTCGGTTGAGACAGTTACCTTTTGATGCTTTACGGATCTTCTAGCACAGTAGTGTGGGTGACGGCGGGTTAACTTGGCGGATCTGCGTTGTAGTATCAACGCAGAAATATTTTTTTGCTGGTTGAAAACACTGCATGTTTATGTAGTAGTCTAATATCGTGGAACAGGTAGAAATATTGCGAGAAAGTATGTGCGATTCTAGTACCACTAGACCCGCCCTCCTCTAGAAAGGAGTAGAGCCCTTGGGCCGCCGCCCACCTTGCCCACTCTTAAATTCGCGCCAGCTTACAAAGTTGAAAGGGGTTGGGGAATGGGCGAAGTGAGGAAGGGCGGCGCGCTGACAACCCTTTATTCGCCTCCCAAATTGGCGCCGGATCCGATGCCTCGAGAGGCCAGGTGACGCGCTCCGTTGAGATGAGAAAATACAAACATTTAAATCAAAGGATGCAGATGTATTTTCCGAGACTTACGTGCATTTCAAGGGGACGTAGAAATATTCTCTTCAAGAAGTCTCTCAGGCGGCGGCGATGGTGTGACGGTCAGCGGATCGGACTGTTATACACAAGTTGGCGCGAAAAAATCCTTCGTACGCCTTCCTTCGGAGGGAGAGTAAAGCCAGTTGTCTCATGTTAAGATTTACTTGCGTGTATAAGATTCTCAAGCCTAAATGACGCCTCTGAGCTAAATTCAAATCGCCTGTTTCGTCGCCGAAGAAATATCTCCTTGCTCCGCTAGTTGGTGAAAGGAGCGTAGCGAAATTGGGTGGTCAGACGTAAGAGCGGCCCTGATGGCCCGAGTCTCGCCACGTAAAAAAAGGCATTAATACAATTCAATTCAAATAATTGCTAGCTAGCGTCCTCCGGCCAAAATCTTAGATGCGCTCAACGGAAGAAAAATCATAAATAGTCATCATGTAGTTCTTGCTAGAGTCTTAAATACCCCGCGTGCGAACGGGAAAGGGATTGTATTTGAAGGGAAAGTACAACTAGCCAACAGACTACTTGCGACGCGATATTGAAAGATTTTGCCAAAGCTTTTGATGTTGTATTATAGATTGTATTATAAAGAAATTAATATATTCGGGTGTACACACTAGAGTGGTAGTGTGTATGATAGAAGTCTTCGAGGCAGAAAACTGAATGTGCCATTCGGAAACCGTTATCAACCGCGAGAAATGTAACGGTAGGAATTCCGCAAGAAATAGTCACCCGACCACTCATGTTTCTGGCCTTCGTGAATGAACTGACGACCAATTTAGTTTCAACTCTACGACTCTTTGCAAAAGACTGTCTTATTTATAAGTTTATCAACTCGGAGGATATTTTGCAGCGAGACTTAGACAAATTACAAACAGTACGGAAATTACAAACGGTACGGAAATAAAACAGTCCCAAGAGCAAGTCCATGACGATTGGTAGGGGTTGAAGTTACAATGAAACCGCGTAAATTGAACAATAATGTTATCCTCGAGTAATGTATTTGCAAATATTTAAGAATAAAGCTGGATAGTACGAGTATTTTGAGCTGGGAAAATCCTGTAAATTTCGTTGAAGGGAAAGTCTGTAGATCTTTGCATTTTGTTATGTGGATTTTGAAAACGAGTACCGTGAGAGCCAAAGAACTAGCAAATATGTAATTTGTGCGACTCGTATTAGAATACGAAACGAAATGTTGGGACCCATACAGAATTTAGCACAAGCGAATCTACGGAGAAAATAATTACGCCCTATGCTATGTACAAAGCGTGTACAGGAAAGATGGAAGACTCCCTAGCCGAACGCTTCCGCCCCTCCAACACCCCAATCCCAGACAGTGTCCTTTGGTGTTTCCTTGAAACCCCACCTCTTCCCCCGACCAACAACGGACTTGGACGACGAACGACGTAGAAATTAAGAGCTTACTAAAGACAATAGAC